CGCTAGCGCGAATGTGACACGAACGCAGCAGAACGGAAAGTTGGAGTGCGTTTGCCTGGAGGTAGCCATATCGGCGCGTCCATGACTTAAATGAAGTCTGGGATGGTCAACCGTTGTAATATTTAATAAGAGTTAATATCTGTTAGCAGGTGGTGATAACTGATAGACCGTATGCTGTTCACTGTCAACCGCACGAGGACGTGCGACAGTCAGAGGTAGCCGTGTCTGTGCATCTAGAAAATACTAGAGACATTGCAACAGTTGCAGGGAGGCTGGTCTGTGCTGCACTGGGATATGTGTAGAGTTGCTGTTGGTTTACATACTTAGGTGTTATCGTGTCACTACGTCCCTTACGATACACTTTTGTGTGATTGTGACGGGGACATGTTTGCGGTATGGTTGGTCTGTAACTGTTCTACTGAATTGAAAAAAAAAGAGAGTAAGAAAAAAAATGTGGTTCTTACTATCATTGCAGGGCGTTTGCCGGTCTAATGATATAGCTACAGGGAACAGTGATTCCGGACTAGCATAAATAGTACTGAAAAAAAAAGAGATTAAGAAAAAAGAATAGTTCTTACAATCATTGCAGGGCTTTGTGCCGGTGCAGTGATATAGCTATAGGGAATAGTGATTCCGGACTAGCGAAAACAGTACTTGAAAAAAAAAGAGAAAATAGAAAAAGCTACAGACTAATCATTCCGATCTAGCATAAAGGTGATAAAAGTTTTGTGGGGCTTACTGCCGGAACAAAACTGATTATCACCCGAGTCTGAAGGGGCAGTATAGACCGGACCAGACGCTGTTTTGTCAGGATAATCGAACGATGTTTTACAGATTACAGTTGTTACAGATAACTAAAATTGTGATGGAGCGCGTGCGAGGACGCACGCATGTCAGTATGGCCGTGACGGCACCTGCACCGTTATAGATGCGGTAGCGTCGGTCTAGCTAGACAGAATTCTTGTAAACGACACGTGTACCGCACACCTGCGGCATTGCATCTGCGTTGCCGCCCATCCTGCTTGTATAAAACGGACTGAGCGGCCGCCGTTAAGACAGTCTTGGCTCTGACGTGGAACGGTGCGTGTGTCGTATTCCGTCACTAGTTTATCCTTGACTCGTTGGATCGTTGGATAGTTAATTCGTGTAAACGAATTAATTATTATTCCAAATTACAAAAATAGTCTTTGTACTATACCCATTATACTTTCTACATATACATAAAACAATAAAAGTAAACCGCCCACCATGCAACAATACCAAAAAACAAGAAAATAATCTATATTTACCCATTAAAAATAAAATACATTTTATAGGTACCCATAAGGGGTTAAATAAGTACAGTAAATGTTTTATTGGTCAGCAGTTAGTCCAGTATCAATTGGAAGTATACGGAGCTTGGATACTGGTCTCTTGATAACTGTATTTTTAGTTCGCAAAGTGACTATACGCGTGATGTTATCAGTTCCTGGATGTTTAGCTATCACACGACCAAGGAGCCATTTACACGGGGGTAATTCATTCTCTTTTATTAACACTATATCTTCTAACTGCGGTTCAGGTGTTTGGTGAGACCATCTGTACCTATGTAAAAACTGACTTAAGTATTCTTGCGACCATCGTCGCCAAAACTGTTGCATCAGCTTCTGGGTGAGTTGCCACCTACGTAAACTGCTGATGTTGGAGGTTTCAAAGTTATTGTCTGGTAGGGTAACCAAGGGTTCTCCCACCAAAAATGGCCGGGAGTTAGTACCTCCAATGATTCGCTGTCTGTCCGAAGTTGTGTTAGAGGCCTTGAATTTATGCAGGCCTCAATCTGAATTAAGACTGTGGACAGCTCTTCGTAGGTTAAGGTTGTCTCTTCGATAATCTACCTTAACTGTGTCTTCACAGACTTAATTCCTGCTTCCCACAATCCTTCGAAATTCGGTGACCGTGGCGGAATAAAGTGCCAAGAAGTGCCATGTGAAGCCAAGGAATCTGCCACCTCTCTTAAGATTCCTGACCTTTCAGATGCAAATAGTGTGCGCAACTCTCTACCGGCTCCCACGAATTTTGTGCCGTTGTCACTCCAAATATCGGTGCAGAGCCCACGGCGAGCAACAAATCGTTTGAAAACGCTTAGAAATCCTTCGGTTGTAAGATCACTGACAACTTCCAGATGAATTGGCCTAGTCGCCATACAAATAAAAATACAAATATATCCCTTATATGATTTGTATCCTCTTCCTTTTGTTGTCCGTACGTTAATGGGTCCAGCGTAATCAATTCCACAGTATTTAAATGGTTTAGAAGGTGTTACTCTGGCAGCTGGAAGCTGGCCCATTAAAGGCGGTGCAGATTTTGCCCTGTCCTTGAAACATGTTACACATTTTCTGACATATGATTTGGTCAACAATTTGGAGCCTAAAATCCAGTATTTGGATTGCAAATATGTAAGCATAAGCTGGGGACCTCCATGTAGTGTTTTCGTGTGGGCATCAGCGACAATTAAATTAGTGAGCATCCGGCTCGAAGGACCAAAACTATGTATAACCCAATCCAGACGAAACACAACCCCTGGTTTAAATGATTGTCCATACATTTTGATCAAAAACCTAAATCAGTCCGTTCAAAAGAAACTATTAGCTAGTATTAATGCTCTTTGGCACTTAAAAAAATTCCTGAATCTTGGAAAACACAGTGTGTAATCCCTCTACTTAAGCTTGACAAGCCACCTGAAGATCCTAACTCATATCGTCCCATATCATTGTCATCTTGTGTTGGAAAGCTTAATGAAAACATGATAAAGATGCGTCTTGAGTATTATGTAGAGGCGAACAACATGATTCCACATGTTCAATATGTCTTCCGGAGAGGGCGAAGTTTGTGTTTTTCTAGATGTTCAAGGTGCGTTTGATAATGTTGACCCTGGCATTTTGGTTCAATTTCTTTCTGACACTGGTATACCAGGCATACTTTGCCATTGGTTATTTAATTTTTTAACAGATAGAACTTTATAATAGAACTTTATATATTGTAAGGCATAATAATATTCTCCATGGTCCAAGATACAATGCGGGGGGCTACATTATTTCTATTGCTGTACAATATATATATACTAATCAAATTCTTAATTTTGTAAATGTAGAAGGTGTAAATTTTTTACAATTTGTGGATAATCTTGTAATATATTGTACATACCATAATGTAGATAGAGCTGTAAATAGTATAAATAAAGCTTTAGATCAATTGTACATATATTATAATGACAGGTTGGCTCTACAGATTACCCCCAACAAAAGCAAGGCCATGATTTTTGTAAAGATTTTCCCTCTAATGGCATACTCTACAATAATCATTCAATTTCAGTTGTACCTAACCATAAATTCCTGGGTGTTGTCATTGATAACAAACTTTGTTTTGATTTACACATCAAACACATTATAACGAACTCTCTTAAGGGCTTAAATATTATAACATGTTTAGCTGATGTGACTTGGGGTGCAGACCCCAAAGTTTTAAGTATGCTATATAAATCTAAAGTCAGAAGCCACTTCGACTACAGTTGTTTAGCCTACTCAAATAGTAGTTGTGTAAAAAAAAACTAGACATAATTCAAAACAAAGCTCTGCGAATTATTTCTGGGACTATGAGTTCAACTACCAAACGAGCTATGGAAGTTGAAACCAAAATAATGCCACTGTGTCTTAGAAGACTTCTGCTAATAGAAAGATATTTACTAAAGCTATTATCTGGTAATGATAATGTTCTCAAAAAAATAGTACCTTTTCCTGTACAATGCTCGGTCCAGCAGACTTCGGGAGATGAGCTTTTACGAGGTTATTTCCCAGTTCTGCCAAAAGTTTCTGTAAAATTAATCTGTAAATTGTGAATTATTAAGTTTTCTTTCCGACAATAACTACTATACTTTGTATACAAATGGTAGCAAAAGTGAGCTCTTTGTGTGCAGTGCTGTTTATGATCCCCAATCCAAGTTTGATCAAAGTTTTCTTCTGGATCCTAAATGCAGTGTTTTCACTGCAGAGGTATATGCGGCCCTCAAGGCCCTGAAGTGGGTTGCACGTATAAATAGTTTTAATAATTTTTTAGTTTTAACAGACAGTTTAAGTATGGTCCAAAGTTTAACCAATCTTAGATTTGACTTTAAAAAAACTATATTTTGTATAATATTAAAAAATGTTATTTAGTTATGCACAAAAGGGTATACAGGTCTCTTTAATGTGGATTCCATCACATAGGGGCATAATAGGAAATGAGATAGTAGATAAAATTGCACGTGATGGAACCAACATGTTGGATGTTAGCTCCATAGTAAAATACCTTTGACCGACTGTTATCAATCTATTGACAACCAGGTTTATGGGTCGAATTTTGGGAACAATACCAAGAACAGAATGGTAAATGGTACAGAAATGTTCAAGCAAACCTACCTGTAGCACTATAGTATAACAATCTGAAAATGGCCACTAAGGACTTTATTACGACTATAAATAGGCTGCGATTTGGTCACTCCACCGTCCCGGTCCACCTGGCTCGGTTGGGCATAGTGGAGCATAGCTACTGCACCTTCTGCAATAATTCTGTTGGTGATATCGAACATTTCGTATTTATATGTGAGTGCTTTTCATTTGACAGATTGATTCTTGTCAGTGAAATTAGTGAAATAGTGCAAAATCTAGTGACAGTGCAAGATCCCTTCCGCTGCCTGAGTGATATGTTAAAAAATAGATTCTATTACGTGCCTCTATATAAATTCATCAAAAATTCAGTGGGGAAATTATAATGAACCGAATAAAAATACTCAAGACTTGGCCTAAAGGTCTAGATAGCAGGCCATAAACTCCATAAAAAAAGTAGTAGCACTGCTTGTCAGTATGTCAGGCACAGTCATTGACAATTGACATTTGTCAATTTGTCATTTTAGTTTTTTACGTCGAGGGGAGGAGGTTAATTTAATTATATTAAACATTATTTTATTTCACATAATTTTAAAAGAAATGTCTAACGAAAACACTTTAGATTTACATTACGTTCATCAAAGTTTTCAAAGGAGCCTAAAAGAAGAAGACGACGTTATAATAGAGGCATATATAGACGGATATAATGAACTTGTGAAGTGAGGAGATAAATGAAAAGTATTTTATTTTGTGATCCATATGTTCCTTATTTGATTGTTTGTTTAAATTGTTTAGGTTCTTAAACCTGATCGGAACAGTGTTTTCTTTCGTAAGCAGTGATGTGAAGAGCAAAATTAAGGTGATGGAGAAACATAGAGAAGGAGATGATGCCATTTACTACGAGTCTTTTAAAAAGATGATGAAGTATGAAAAAGAAACTAGTTTGCACGAAAAGAACGGATTTGTTTCCGGTTCTAGGACTATGCTTCGATTACATAGAGGTTTAGGTATAATAATTTCAAAAAATAACATTGTTTTTAATTCATTATTTTTCAAATTTTTATAAAACTAAATTATGTATTTAGGTACCATATTTATTATCTAAATTATTTCGTGTACTAACGTGAGAAAAAAAACAAGAATGTTAAGAAATATGTATATTTATTTTCGTTGTTTATTTTAAAAAGAGTACTAAAGAAACTACTATATAATAATAGTGTAATAAGCATACAATAGTATACTTCTGTGTTTCATATTGTGAGTGACAAAATTGGTTCCCTTTTGTTTGGTAATGAGATGTTCCCAGTGACGATTTAAATATCGACAGTGCCTTAGTTGCAAATAATTAGCACACGTAACAGGTGGGCGTAAATGAAAAATGTAATGAGAAAGTGAGGGTGATGTAGGAGTATTTAAGTAGACTGGACACATTTTGGAAGCGTCACATCTTCAAAGAAAGTACCTATATATTTTTTTATTTTATGCAAGTACTTTTTTTCCTTTAAAAACCTCAGCATGTGGCCCTTTGTAACATTGTGTGTTTAGGCATATACCTAGTTTGCATCAAGGATAATCTGCCACTGGATGTTACAATATGGCTAGTCCTCAGGGATGACTATACATTTTCATTTTTAATTGTGAATAGATATATGTATCTGGGCCACAGTGTCCCCTTACCCTTACGTGTTTAAAATAGTGCATTGTAACCTTGTGCCTCTAGCCGTGCACGTAGTTTGCCTCAAGGATAATCCGCCACTGGATGTTACAACATGGCTAGTCCTTAGGGATGACAATACATTTTCATTTTTATTTGTGAATAGATATGTATCTGGGCTACAGTGTTCCCTTACCCTTACTTGTTTAAAGTAGCGCATTGTAATCTTGTGCCTCTGGGCATGTACCTAGTTTACCTCAAGGATAATCCGCCACTGGATGTTACAACATGTCTAGTCCTCAGGGATGACAATACCTTTTAATTTTTTATTGTGAATAGATATGTGTCTGGGCTACAGTGTTCCCTTACCCTTACTCATTTAAAATAGTGTATTGGAGAAAAGATTTCTAAAAATATAGTTTACATTGGTTATTCCCAAGATTAATGAATGGCTCGATTCACTGGCACTGCATTTTCTTTCGCATTTACCACGGGGAGTGCTCTGAGGAATTGTTCGGATTAATACCAGCCGCTAAATTTCACGACGGTACATCGCGGCAAAACTCCCGACATCATCCACACCATCTGGATGCTTGGCGGTTCACCACTGTATGTTTCACTAGGAGTTATCTTCTGCGCGCAACCTCTCTGTGGAATAATTTACTACCGGCGATTTTTCCGGACCAATACGACTTAGGGACCTTCAAGAAAAGAGCTTACTCCTTTTTGCTGCAGTTGTTCATGGGCGGCGGTAGTCACTTACCATCAGGATAGCCGTATGATCGTTTGTCCCCTCTCCTATAAAAAAAAAAACATTATCAAAAATAATGGCTGCATGTCTCATACAATTTATTATAATATCATAATAAACAGTGTTTAGATAAGAAATCATTTCCAGATTTCATCAGATTGTTTCTGAAGCGTCTAAGTGATTCTGATGATGCAGTTAATACATGTACAACATGTCAGTGTTCATACAATGAAACGCTTGCGGAATTTCATCCGTGGTATATCAGAAAAGCAGCAACGTTAGCCATGCATGCTTTGCCATCAAGACCTGACTTACTAAAAAAGGTTAGTTGACTACCTTGTAATAAATGTAATTGTCTTTATAAATGTTATAGTTAAGGTTATTGAATAGAAGACGTGTTTACCTTGTATACTTGTGTTTACAAATCTATGTTAACAATTTATTTTTAGTTTAGATTACTATTCTATATTTAGAAAGTATGATTGGGCATATATGGGTAGTTAGGGGTCTGTTATAATTAACCTGACTGGAGACAAAACAGCTAAACCTTCTTCTTTGTGTTATCATGGCTACTCTTAGGGTACACTGAACAGTGGAACAGCTAAATTATTTAATATAATTAGTGGGAAGCGACTACCTTCCACGGTCCCACAATTTGTTGCTCAGTCCGAACTCTGCGGTGCAAACACGGTCTTCAACGTTTTTCTGCCACTCATGCCATCTTTGTGTAAAGTCGTTGGAATAAGCCTCGGTTGCAACAAGATCACTGTAAGAAACAGGTCTTGCCTCTTTTCCATCTTATCGAGTATATCCTTTCTTTGGTCAACAGAGAACAACACTACAGAACTTGATGTATATATCATCCACATCTCACAAGCATATACTCTCCTACGAAAGTTGCATGTTAAATTATTCACAGGAAGATTAATGCTAGAGCATTGGGTAGCAGATGTGTTGACTTTTTTGCCAAGTAATCATTGTCGAAATCGCAAGCATAAAACCTCTTTAGCCCCGTGTTCTCACCGTGCTGAACAAACTCCCATGGGCACAGGACAGGACAGTCTGTATGTTCACATGCACTATTATTTACGAATAAATGAACGCTTATAATGTCAGAATGCGTGAAGTTCCATGAACGGAGAAATTAGTGTTTTGTCTGTAATTATTGTGATGTGTGTTAATATTTTAACTAAATATAAATATATGATGTAAAGTAGGTACTGTCAATCCGTGTAATAAACTTGGATGGCGATGGTGAATATTTTTGATGCCACAAGATTAACTAAATCTGCATAAAATTTACTTTAGTAATTTAACTAAACATAAAGGTGTTCATTTGACCATCATATTAAACACCGGAAACTAATTCAGTGCTGGACACAAAACTTTTCCAGATCTAGTAGAAATTTAGTACTGATCTTAATACACTAACAAAAACAGAAACAGAAACTTTCTTATTCAATATAGATTATAATTAATACTTAGTGAAATTCACTCTTGGTTGTTTAATTACCACTGCTTCAGAAAAAAAACCTCTCTGTCTGACTTTAAAAAAAAATAGCTTACAAACATTTATGTTACACAATTAACATCACAAAACAAATTAGAAATACCTTGGTAGCGATTACCTCATTCCCAGAGGTTATTATCATCCTTAAATTCCTTAATATAATAACCCTTATTATACAAACTTAGTTTAGTAAAGTTTTTGATAAGGAGTGGGATAATGGATCCTTACGGACATCCTAAACACGGTACTCGGTATACTCAGGGTCATATAACACGATATAGAGACCTCTGAGCGATGTTAGTTCCTTGGCCTTCTTTCTTTCATCCTCATCATCATCACAACCCTTTACAAGTCAGCTGCTGAACGGAGGCCTCCCCCATGGAAGGCCTCAAAGCACGATCCTGAGCCACCTGCATCCATCGGATTTCTGCATAATTTCCAAGATCGTCACTCCATTTAGTGGGGGCGGCCCTACAATATACTCTACCTGTACGAGGTTACAGGTTATATAGCTGGCCCATCGCGACTTAAGCTTACTTATCCGTTGGGCTATGTCGGGTTTTTTTCTTTCTTTTAACGGTCGTCCTCGAGGTGAAGACTTCTCTTCTCCCTTTTCCCTCACAGGTAAAATGCACCAGGAACACAAGTGAAAAGAGTCTCTGGTTCTCTATTCTCATCATACGAAACAGTAGCATTAAGCCCCTATTTTACGCTGGTATCCTGTGAGAGCGTGGTCCTACCGCGGTCGAGCCGGCCGGGTTGTTTAAAAATCATAAAGTAGATGCGTTGTTCGACCCTGAGAACTAAGATGGAATATTTCGTTTCTAGTAAAAGGTTCTTTCATTTCATCCATCTTATTTCACTTCAACCAAACAAGCAAGCACGTGTGTTAGTCAAAAAAGTCTTAATCTTTCTCCACGGCGTCATCTGTAACAGTACCAATGTATAATTTAATAAAATATTAAAAAAATAAATCGATTTCATCAAAACGTAGCGTCGAAGTTTCAAGGTTTATTAAATTTACAATACTTAACGCCAAACATAGACACTTCAATGCTTCATTTTCATCGATTAATTTAATTGTGTTAGCGATTGGGCTGATTTGTTTTGTAACGCGCTCACATTGTCGAGTTTGTTATCTACAGTTACTCGTATCTGTGATCATTTTGTTTGCATTGTATAAATATATACGACTATACCACACTACACGTAATTACGTAGGTATATGAATTATCTTCCCACACGTGTTCCCACCTTATGTTAAAACAATCTATGCTTAAACATTTATACAATATTAACATCCTAAATAACTTTTTGATATAAAAATTAAAAAAAAATTAAGTGGTAGAGCCACACTGGAACTATGTTATAGTTGTAATACAAATGAGTCGGCTCAATCGTGGCATGACCACAAATAGCAGCTTAATGCTGCTGTTTTGTATGGTGATTGTAGAGAACCTGAGACCCCTTTTACTGGAAACGAGGCATTCCATCGTAGTCCTCAGGGGTGACAAAACATTTGCATTTTGATCCTTAATCGAAGATAAATGTATGTAATAATGTCTATGGGCCACAGCAGAACATTTACCATCAGGTGGATTGTGTGCTCGTTTGTTACACCACTCTATAAAAGATAATATAAAATTTAAAATATTTATACGAGTACAACCGACTTCAATATAAATTATTAAGAATAACTCAAAAACTATTGGTCAGATCTTAGTCAAATTTATATGGGACCACATGTGAAGCACCAGCTTTCAAATAAAAAAACGAATTAACGAAATCGGTTCACCCAGTAAAAAGTTATGAGGTAACACACATAAAAAACATACAGTCGAATAGAGTACCGTCTCCTTTTTGAAGTACAATGTAGAAAACGAGTTAAAAGTTCATCTGGTAAATGGCTATTGAAGTCTTTGGATATTTGCACTTAGTTCGAACAAAGAAAAGACAGGTGTGTGAGTGTGGTAGGTGGAGGTGATCTGAAAAGACTTAGAAAATTTATAAAAAGCAACCGATGCGTGTGAAAGGGTCTCTAATGGCTCCACAATGGTCTGAAGAGAGGAGTTTCGTGAATGCAGGAGGCTCTGAGCTATGCTTTGTGTCAGTTTTTGCGGAAGACATGTTTTGAGTACTTGTGATTGCTTGCGAAGATGATGAAACAATTCACGAACTTAAAGTATACAACATAATCACGCTGCTTAAATCGTCTGCAATAGATGCGAATGCCGTTGATGATTTAAGAGTGAAAGTTTAACATAATGTTGCATAAAGTTATTGTAATGTATTTATTGTACTAAGCTATTAGTTTAAATTATAGGTAAATATTGAGTAAATAATGAGTAGATGGGTAATTTATAACGTACGAGTAGGCTTCAGCAGATCAATAAAACGCAGGTATGAATTTATAAAACAATGTTTATTAATCAAACTCAAAAATTGAATTACATAATTTATTACCCCTTAAAAACTTATTATATAATTGTCATTTTATTAGCTTGATGGCAGTTTTACGCACAAGATATTTCATTCTAATATCAATATACTTTTGAATGACATCCATCAGTTTTGAAAAAATCGTGAACATGCACACGTAATTAAGGTACTTATTTTTTTAATCGCTTTTAAATACGTGTAATCTTACTTTAAATTTATGCTCTGGTATTGCATTTCTTCAATATAAGTTATTAAGAATAACTCAAAAACTATTGGCTTCAGCTTGATCAAATTCATATGGGACCACACGAGAACTACTAGCTTTCAAATTAAAAAAGAATTATCGAAATCGGTCCACCCAGTAAAAAGTTATGAGGTAACACAAATAAAAAAAAAAAACAAAAAAAATACAGTCGAATTGAGTACCGTCTCCCTTTTGGAAGTCGGCAGACAAGGATAAACATCAAGACCCGGAACAATTGTTTGTTGGCCATACAAATACTTGTTCAAGTTGTTGTTGATTCAAGTCTGCGGTCCCCAGCGCTGTAACTCATTGCTAAGCCACTGCGCCACGGAGCCGTCAAATCTTACGTCTGCCAATATCGATTATTCCACATTCTAATTGCTAGGTTCATTGGACAATTTCTGAACTGTTATTTTCTTCATTCTTTTTTTTAATAGATTAAAGGGTGACAAACAAGCACACAGTTCACCTTTTGACCCAAGCGGCGGTTCGTCACGGTCGTTCCGCTGCCAACTAGGTTTCAGTCGCTGAATGTAGTAAAAGAGGCACCTCGGGCTACCCCTTCGTCACTTTCCAGCCGGGTTCCTATATATTCACAGCGAGTGCCCAAGCCTTGTTTACCGTGTAGAGGCGGTGTAAGAACATCCACTATCTCATATCGTCCCGTGGATGTAGTATGAGGTGGCAGAGGGAAACAAATCGGGCGATGGGCAGCAGCGTCTAATAACAACTACAAAATAAAAAAGGCAATATGTGAGGCAATCTTTTGGTGAGGCTTATGTTTAGCAGTTGACTTTTGATAGTCTGTAAAGATAATGAACCAAGCCATGGCACACCTATGCACTTGCCACAAGTAGATGGAACCCGTTTGTTGGCATACATATGTTAACGGGCCTATATAACAACTGATGCCTTTTAGGCAACCGTTAGTTGCGTTGTTATTTTTGTAATTTTATTAAATTCAATAAAATTAAAAAGCCGGTTGCCAACATGCCTGCCAAGCGTCAGGCAGTCGGGCAATCTATGGGCTACGTTCAGCAGTGGACTTTAGACACGATGGCACAGTAACAGTAACGGTAGTAAAATTTAGCATTACAAAACCAGTTTAACGTGACATTTTTTTGTTATGATTTTTTCTAAAAAATATTATTATTTTCAGGTTTTCGGCTCAGACGAGAAGTTAACAGAAGCAATGGCAGTATTGCCACAAACATTGCAATCGTGCGACGAGGTCTATCAACGGGTACATCAATTGTACACCTCTTTCGATTTCCACGGATTGCCATAGATAATATAGATTAGCGAAAGGTGAAAAACATCTATATATTTTGCTTAATAGTCCTTGTATTGTGTGGGACAACGCCAAGTATATTTTGAGGCTCGTATATAACACTAGTGTTACGAAACATTCTCCAGTTGCTGTTAATATTTAAATTTGCTACGTAACGTTTGAGTAAAATTATTTCCTTGTTTGACTTTTGATAGTAATTTGAATGATAAAGGGTATAACTACGCCCCTTTTATGATTATAAAATATGATAATAAAATATTAATTTAAGAAACGAATCATTACAACTATTGCTGAGAGCGGTAATTCTACCACATAAAAATGGCACGAATTGTGCCTTTGTGTGCGTAAATTGCGGTTTCTTTATATGTACTTAATAGATAGATATGTATTTTCAATTCCATTTATTCTATAGATCTTTTGTTCAATACGTTTCTAAATGGAATGTTAAATAGAAACTTAAATAAAATTTAAACTCGCACTAACTCGCACAAATGTGTGGAGTTTAAATTTTTGGCTTTTATACACAAAAACCCACAATAATTAATGAAAAACAGCCATAAACTAAACTCTTTTCATCGTTATTATTCCGACTTCAATGTATTTTTAAGAATATAGCAATACATATACGAGTTGACCTACTTCGCGTCGGCCAAGCAGGTTTATGAGGGCAGAGTCGAGATCTTCGATCTGGTATTGCTATAGGCAACTGCTATGTCTTCGCACTGGTGCCTATCAAATAAGTAGAAGCTTCGGTATTTTTTTTTGTGACTTTTCTGCCGATTGTTCGGTAGTTAGGAACACCGTGTACAAGCGAAGTTGACATTAAATACTTGTGTTCTTAAAACTAGATGCCATTGGTTTAAAAAAATAAACGCCCGTCATTTCCTTTACCGCTGTGCACTACTCCTCATGGGGCAGTCGAGTAAAAATATTAACATTTAAAATTGAAATGTTTCCCAGCGATAATAATTCTTTTTTTGAAACGTAATCAAGTTTTATTTTTATAAATCACCAGTCCACGTTATCAAATGATAGAGCCTCTTTATCATTCAATTACAATACCACTTTAGATTGTTTAGTGATAGGGCTGGATTAAGCGTCAGTGGAGATAAAAGTGGGCTGATTATAAATTGTCCTTTGCTAGTGCGTTAAACGTAACGTAAAATACGTTTAAACGTATATGCACATACAGACTAGCGGCACTTATAGCAGACACTTTGCCGTCGACGCGTTGGCGGTTGACGTAGATACGTCGCCCACTGTCGTCGGCACGGCAGCGTTGAGGATTCGCGGAAGTAGTTGGTTTTAAGTTTAGTACAGACAGGAGACAGATGCAAAATGGATTCCGAAAAGGGAACACTATTATTACTTTTGCTCCGTCAATCGGCAAAGTAATAAACGTGCATTGTGGGTCGATTAAATATTAGAATATAATGAACAAAACAGTAAATTTTTACCCTTTATTTACTTATACGAAGAAAATGTTCAGAATAACTTTAAAAAGTTAAAATAAATATATTTGGAAAATATTTATAGTTAATTTTTTATCAATTTGAATTCTTCCTTTTAATTAAGTAATGGCTGCTTTGAACGTCCTTGCTTGTTGTCATAATATTGACTTTGTCTTTTCAAAACATGCAATAATGTTTCTTAAATCTAGAAGCAACAAGTCAAAGTCAATATCGCTAACGAAGCTAGTTTTGTAAGTGCAGTGAACACTTAGACCATTTGCAGTCAACTAAACAAAATAGCTTAGACGAAACGCTACAACTTCAAGCTGCAGTTATCTCTGCCGTCATCAAAGTGCCGCCAGTCAGTCGTCTGTTTAAGCACTAATGTCGTCTTACTGTGTTTTATCGCTTAAGAATTACATGAAATAGTATTATAGAATATATTATGATTTCATCATGCAGATAATTATAATAATTCAGAGTCAAAAATACTAAAATACCTAAAAGAATTTGAAGTCGGTTAGAGACTATTAGTACATTTAATACGAGAAATGTAGGATTAATAAAAAATAACAAACGCCTTCTGAGCCTCAAAATTTACAAACTTATACACAATCATAAACATATTTAACATAAGTTTCTGAAACTTGTTCCTGTTGATAGGATCCTAAATAATTAATTGCGACATAATAAACGTAAGATCTCATAAGTATAATGTACTTATAAGTGTTTAACATAACTCTCTTTTATGTTTTGTTGTCAAAGACTATGTATATCTGCTACTAGACAAGCACTACGGTGCTAATTACATTGCGCATTAAGTTACGGTCAATTCACCGTAACTTCTTTAGTCGACTGCGAGCGGCCGAGAAGACTAGTTCTTTGTTTCGTAAACCGCGAACGTTGTTTTCGACAGTCTAACACTGATTTTGTTTAATGTGACTATGGATACGTTGTCATTATTTATATGCGCAATTTTTCAACGTGAAGTTTATTTCAGATAAGTATGTAACTTATCGTATTTGCCTAAAAACAGTAACTGTCGTAAATAATAGTTTAACATTAAACATTTTGTACTACCGACTTCAAAATAAATTATTAAGAATAACTCAAAAACTATTGGTCAGACGATCTAATTTATATGGGACCACATGAGAAGCACCAGCTTTCAAATAAAAAAAGAATCATCGACATCGGCTCTCCCAGAAAAAAGTTATGAGGTAACACACATAAAAAAAAATAACATACAGTCGAATTGAGTGAGTGAGACTCCTTTTTGAAGTCGGTAGAAAATACAACTACGTGGCATATTTGCTGTGCTGGCAACCGTCGCAGCCTGCGCGCGATTTATGTTTGACACAGTTTTAGTTCCGAATTGCTGGTCTAGTAGCATATATAGTCTTTGGTTGTTATATATAGTTATTCAGCATTGAGATTGCAACGTCATTTTAATTTATCATCTTAATTGTAACGACATAGAGACTATATTTGAATGAGTAACGTAATTATGAGCTCAATTGCAACTTTTGCTCACGAAAACTTTGTACGTAGCTTTTGTATCAACATTTTATATTATATCACCTCGTTTATATGCGAGAAATTCTTATTTGCGCCAATATTATATTTGTACCATGTATGTAATAACACAAATTCAAATGTTTGCCAAATAAAAATATTAGTATCATATTATTGCCATGTGGCCTTGGAGTATGTAAACGCCACTTAGTCGATTTTGTTTGATTTAATTATGATTAGTCAAGAGGCATAGATAATATTTGTTATAATGTCACGTGGCATACGCCATTTTAGCCAGTCTTATTTAATTTACTATTATATTAAGCAAATTTATGAATAAGCAGCACGAATCAGAAGAATAAAAAATATTATATATTCCGTATTTTAGAATTAAATTTAAATTAATGGATGACCTCATTCTAAAGAGGTTAGGCGGGCCGATTTTCAAGATGTCTATATCGGTTATGATAAACAGTAGAATCACTACAAACATTTTGAATATATATAGTAAATACACAATATTAGCGGGACAACAAATTCTTTCAGTAACCACAAAATAATATAACAATAAATTTTTCACTAAAATCTTTAATGTACGTCATCAAAATCACTGTATTTAAAATGATATGTTGCGTTTACACATAGGTGTGTTAATACAATATTAACTCTAAAAATATAAAACAAAATCGAATCTTAATCGATAATAACGAGAATCGATTATTTAACTCTCATCTCTAGTTTCAGTTGCCGCCCACCCTCCCTCTCCTCTTGTCGCCATGTTGTCCCTAAAAGCTATAATATCTGCGCAACCACTCGCGACTAACTTCAGCCCGGCTGAGATAGAGCGCGCGAACTATAAACGGTTTTTGTTTAGTGATTATATCGCTGGAGAAATCCAACTCATTTTAAATAGAGGCTACTAAATTTTATTAAATTTCCGACAAAAATCTTATTTTTATTATTTTGATTACCAAAAGGACAACGAAGTTCTGGTATTTGAATATACATCATCTGCCTAGATTTGATTGTGATTTTTAAAACAATGTATTCGTTTAAAATAATAACATATTGGTTAAATTTTTTGCCACAAAGACATACCCAGTAATAGTTTTTTTTTGGAGATGCAAGAAGGAATTGCAGGTGCGTTGAAATTACGGTATGAAAGAGCATGGCAAGATATGGAAACGTAATCTAAAAAAAATAAACGTGATTATGGCATGTGCACGTTAAATTACTCTTTAAAATTTACAAATAAGCGGTTTCATAAAAAGAACAGACTTGAAATTTGAAAGGGCCGCTGGATTCCTTCTTGATCAGTATGCAATAATACCATAACGTTGAACGTATCATCATAATAATCACATTATCATCACTTAGGATAATGGGTAACGTATACATACGTATATACACCTCGAACCAAAAAAGAAAGAAAACCGGAGCGCAACGTACATTGCAAGTGACGCAACAACCAACCCAATACCGTGCTTGACTTATTGTAAGAATTAATTTTACGGTTTTTATCGCGTATATTAACTTATTTTATATTCCCGACGTTTCGACCACTTTACAGCACCCATGGTTACGTGGGGGGACTAAGGTGTATGTCCCAATGTCATAGTTAACCACTGCTACCTCCAGATTAAAAATTATTCATTTTTGTTCCGATCTACGCAGTATGAACTTACTGTATCTTGAAGTCTTACAGTTGTATGCTTGGTTTGGGATTTAATTTTATTATGGGATCCCAAGCAGATGGTAGCACCCAGCCGTCTTCTCTATTGAAATTAGGATGTTTTTTGATTTCAATAGCCTCGCGAATCATCCTGGGAAGGAATCGGTGTTCTTTAGCGAGGATTTGTGGTCTATCAAATCTAATGTAGTGACGGGGGCGATCCTGTACGTGTTCACAGACTGCAGACTTCCCGGAGGGTCGATTCTTCACATCACATTGTAAGAACACACACTCGCATATACATATGCATCTAAAATGATTTGCAACCAACAACATGGTTTTACGTGCAAGAAGTTGGG